ACAATGCGGAGATAGTCTCATTTAGAAAAGAACTGCTCAAAGCCAAATTGCATAGGTTTAGCGCTTCTGCCCATATGGAACCATGTCACTTCGTACCAGGAAACTGTCCTTGGTTCATCAAGTGCTTACAAATATACAGTTAGGCGGCGACAGTTTATTGCTGATGGGTACATAAGGTCACATTGACCGTGTAGCTATAAAGTTAAGTTTGTCTTCTCTGCAGAGTATTTATCTTAATATTCTGAGTTAAATGATAAAACCACGCGCCGCTACGTAATAGAATTACTCATCAAGGCATCCACCTAGCGTTTCGCAAAACATTTACCTTAGTAGCTTTGATACACACGTCAGTTGCAATCCAGCAATTATGCTAAGGACGCTGCTCTCACCGCGTACACATAGCTCTCCGACAGCCGACGATATTTGACCGAAAGTAGTGAAGGCTACGGTCACTAAGCTAGTGGATACTCCGTTGCTGTTCCTTCAACTGTGCTTTGAAGAAAAGTATGTTTACACTAACTGGAAGCGTATAAACCTCACTCCAATTTTCATAGGGGCAGCCGTTTTGACCCTGCCAACTCCCTCCCTGTGAGCTCAACATTGATGTAAGTAGTCGACGCTAAGGCTTTAGTGAACATCTTAAAACGTTAAAACATGGCTTCAGTCAACGCACGTCACGCACCACAAGCCCGCTGATGAGACGATGTATTTGGGCTGAAGAAGCAGTTGATGGTGCGGGAATCGACGCCTTCTTCCTGAGCGTATCCAAATATCTTGACAGGGTGTATTACCGATTCCAACTTTACAGCTCACAGCATTATGGATTCAGGGACATTGTTCTTGGGTAGATCGACAGCTTACTTCGCCAACGGTGGCTGAACGGGTGTAGTAACAAAAATGTATACAACCCGAATTAAGCGGAATGTGTTGTACCACAAAACCCGGTGCAGGAGCTACATTTATTTCTGATATTTATCAATGGGTTGATAAGAGGTAACCGTAGTTTCATCTTAGTTTTCAAAGCGATTAGGATAAGGCAAGCGATTAAAAACAAGCGGATCTCCGTTTCAATCAAGAAGACTTGGTATGCATTCAGGATTGGTCAATGGAAAACCTAATCCAGTTTGACAGGTTTAAGTGCAAAGGTATTCTCCTGCGCTACCGAGGAGCGGGCATGTGGAACAAAGGAGAATATACATTGCACAAAGCCCCTAAGGTGCGTGATCTATGGATAATCATTTAGACAATTCCCGGTGCTTTAACTAATCCGTAAAGGCGTCGAGAACCGGTAATCAACACATTGAATTTCTTCGAGGAGCGTTCGGTCAGTTTGACCCCATAACATTCCAACTAATGCATAACGTTTACGAGCAACCGGCCCTAGCAGTCGGTATCCAAGCGTGGCACAGGTAATAGAAATACGACCCTGTTGCTCCCCTGATTCCTTAACGAAAGATGGCCAAGTATATTAGCGTACTCTACTAGCAGCCCTAAGATATAGAATAAAATCCCTAGAAATTTGCAGCGATGGGCATCTCTTGCGTTCGTTTGGTGAGGACAACTTGTGCAGCTTACTACCTTGCTTGTTTAGCCAAATTATACGCTTAGTTGGAAACATCATAGTGTTGCTCACCCCAACACTGGCACCCGCAGACCGCGGTTTCGTCCTAGTTGGGACTCTTCAGTTCGAGATAGCCTGAGTTGGGCCGGAACTCAGAGTCTAGTGGCTCATGGTTGACACCCTAAGCACTATGCCACTGAGATCCACGAGCAACACTTGGTCCAGCGAGAACGAATGCAAAGTTGGACTTGGAAGCTCCGCTTGTGGTTGTATACACTTAGTTGTTTATAGTGTAACTGAACACCTTTGAAAGACAACCCGGTATAAACTTTTTTCCTTACTCTTGTGTGCACTTAGTCCGTTGACGCTCACGGTTTGCAGTGTTTCTCGATAAGTCTTCGAGGATAGCCATTCGTCCTTAGTGTTCTTGTAATTAACACTAGCTCCTCCTTTAGACAGCCGGCCGGACAAATTCGTCTCTACCGCAATAGTGGGTAGCTGCTGAAGTGCAGACACTGACCAGAGCAAGTTGATTTTCCGTAAATGGACTTCCTAATCAATCCATCATCCCTGTGACTTATGAGTATGTCCAGATACGGCAGATACTAGTTCTTTTCTACTTCGCACGTAACCCATAAGTTAACATGAGCACCATTGAGCAGTTCTTCCAAGCGCGTGAATTGCTGCTGCTCGGACAAACAAAAAGCCAAAATATCAACAATATATCCTTTTGTAGTAGAGCACAGGGGCTATTTACGTAGAAATGCATAAAGATACCAGCGAGAATAGGAACTAATATGCAACCCATTGCTACGCCGTCAATTTAACGGTAAGTGTGTTCCGAAAGTGAAAACCTACATTCACCGTGTACAGTAATGGAGGTGCTCTCAGCAATGCAGTCGGAATTGATAGCGATGACATACTCATTTTCAGCTTATTTGCACACTTCATCAACCGTCTGTTGTAGCGGGACGTTGCTAACTAAGGCTTCTACGTCCAAGGAAAGTAAGAGTCTATTTGACAGGTTCAGTTCATCCGGGTCGCCGATGAATTGAAACGACTCTTCAAAACTGCACGGATTGTATTTTTGTTTTAGCAGTGTTTGCGAGTTCAGCGTAAAGTTGATCGGACTTCCCACCCCGATCAGATTCCGTGTTATTGCAGACCGCCAGCTTCCTCGATATGAAAACACCTATTAGACGCGGGTCACTGGATAGAGCTGGGCGCAGCATTCAAAGTTGTGTTACGTCGGCCTAAGCCATCGCTTCCTTCTGTCTGCTGAGGCTGTCGCTATAAGCCGGATGAAGCTAAACTTGTGTGTTCAGGAACAACGTATTATCAGAATAAAGCTGCCTTTGACGTGGGTGTGCACTTCCGTCGTTCGTCCTGCGCCTCACGCTTGTCTGGTTGCATCCACTGTTGGCTATGTCTATACAATTCGATTATTGCTAATGGTATTGAGGAAAGCATATGATACGCATGTATCTAGGAGACTTGGTCTTCTTTCTATGCTTTACAAAATAAATGTACAATGTTTGAAGTTGACAACACAATATAGTCTTTAGAATGCCATAGAATGTTCTTCACACTTAGGGTGTATCAGCCGTAGAACCTTCTCCTAATTGTTGTTTCTTCCTTAAGACTAAAGGTATTAAAAAATCGTATGGGCGCAACATCTTTTACGCGCATTTATTCATATCGATTGTGCTAGCCAACTAGTAACAACCAAATAAACGGTGTGTGTTGTACAATTCTAACCAGGGGATTTTCTATGTATTATCGCGTGGATACATCGGTTAGGTTAGCGATTCTTAATGTGAATACTGTGGTGAATTCGGCAAGGTAATTTTCAGCCTACAAGAGTTGAAATGCACTGAGCTTTTACTCGCCATAAATAACTGTTTAAATGTTTCACTGTTTAGCTACAACATAGGGAATGGAATGTGGTGTATTTGCGCCGCACATCCGTTCGCATTCTGTTGATTTCTTCGATGGGCTTATGCAATTGTTAAACTTTCGCTTGGTGTTGCAGACGCTACATATAAAGTATTTATATAGATTGTCCTAATAATTCTGAGGCATTTATGAAGGTAGCCACCATGGACAGTATTAGGACATTGTGCAGAGAATGTACTATCAATGAGACATGTTTATTTTAAAAATTCTAAGCCAGCTGTAAAAAATTAACTTGATCCAAATTTTATGATTGCTGTCCTATTGATAGGCAAATGTTTTTGCTTACGTTAGGACACTGTGAAATACTGTCCCTATTCGATGAAAGGAAGTCAAAAGCGCTGTGCCGCATTAATTGCAATAATATCAAATAGAGTCATCTGTACAACTGGAAAAATACGTTAATTACAATGTGCAACAAAAGTATTTATTTTCTGTGACGGAATTGCCAATGTCTCTACCTTATAGATTGCACTCCACTGATCATGGAAATGTATTCCGATATTACCTAGCACGTTAGGTCACATTGAAACAAGCAAATGCTTATTTTCAGTGATATCAAGGCTACATCGGACGAATTAGATGTGATTGGACTGAATTGCAACCTATACGGAATGCATTTATGTGGCAAATACGTTTAAAACATCACTTCAACACTGGCTGCTAGCTAATGACTGCAGCTTGGCATAGGAAAATGCTGACTATGCTGATATGGTCTATTGTATGATCTAGCGCTTTAAGTTTACATAAACCAGCAAAAGTCAACCATAATGGAATGAGTAGACTTGCCACTGTAACGCTCCTCAATGACTAAAATGTCCTGGTGAAACCGCTCACCATGCACATAGCTAACAGATCCCGAATTCTCAGAAAAACGTTGTGATTATGCAAAAACTTATTTTTAAGTGACATTCGAGCTCCAACAGTGTGAGATTTCGCCGTGAACTTGTTTGTGATGTGTTCGAAGTTCACTGCCTTGGTGCTGACCAACAATTCGGTATCCACGCTTCGAATGCAAATGAAGTCAACTGGCCTCAGAAAGCACTGTCTGCCATTATACGGTGACTACCTAGGTCAATAAATATGCCTTCATTGAGAGTCGCATCACTGAGCTCCGGCAACACTAGTTTCAGGTACCGGAAAGGGCAACATACTCACTTGAGGACTTTGACAAACTATTATTGAAACCAAGCTTGATGTGTAGGGACGATAGAGAGAAATCAGTAAGTTGCACAGGAAGTGCATGTTTCACACTCATTCCCTTGCAGCATACAGGTCCTCTCTGACCACCTCGGTTAGGTAGTACTGTTGAGTAGATTACTGTCCCATAAGCACAGAAAAGAGCACTGTTTTTGATGCCTTCCTGCACATATTTTAGGAGTCCAATGACTTTGAAGTCAGTACAGGTGTGTCAACAGTACTTATCCTAGTTCAGTGAAGCGAGATTCTCCTGTGTAATTTCGTAAGTCTCCTGCATATTGGTGGCATGCAACGGAGTCACGGGTGGGCACGCATCTTCATCGATGAGCCGTATGGCCATAAGAATACTCTTGGACGAGTCAATGAACAAACGCAATTCAGCACTGATATGCCTCACTCCAAGCGCTTTCATCAGTCCCTCCAAGTAGGAAGATTAACAAAAGGTTTTGCTCTTGTCACTGGAACCGACAGCTTTAACTATTCGCTTTCTGTATAGAGTGATTTCCGTTTGCAACAAGTAAGTGCCACTGCTTCAGCTAGAATGCCAGCAACTCGGCCTTGCCTTTAGGTAAACCCAGCTCACGTACCATGTCATTCAGCCCTGATGATGCAATAATATATGGCTTGAAAACATCAACATTAGACTTTTCACCGATGTTAGCATCGGGGGAAGTTGACCAAGCAATGGCACTACTCATCATCAGTGACATGTTCACTGGAGGCACTGGAATGTGTAAGGTGCAATGATACGGAACAGGTCGAATAATTTATGTAAGAATGAATAATGAGTTTTTTCCATGTGTTGGTTGGAGATCCCAATGACACTGGTTAGGCATTAGTAGCAGTTTGTCATGTGATCCTTTAGCTTCCTCCACATCATGGGCATTGTTAAGATAAGCTTACCACTGCACTTGAGCCAGCTAGTCAGAAGAAGATTGCACGACAAACTAACAATATGAGGCACTCAATTCTTATACTGATTTTCAGGCTTCATCTCGATCTATGCGTACTAGGCAGACTTCAGTAGATAACTAACGCTTCTGCACTGCGACTTTGTAGTAAATTGTCCCCACACGTAACAGAAATGAGGTCGATCGCTAACAAGTAGACGGGTTTGGGTATGGTTTGATTTGGTTCATCGCAATTAGATTCCAAGCGTCATAGGTAAGCTACCAATACGGAAAAAGCACCAACCGTGCGGTTCGCCCTATTGCGGTTCGTCAGTGCCACGCATCGATTGGCACCTTACTGGGGATCGAATCCATGACCGCTAGAGTCTAAGGAAAACTAGCCAGCAACTTATGCCACAGAGCCATGGGGGACGAATTGAAATCTAACTGCCATATAGCCCGACCTATCCTCCACTGCCGTGTAGGTTATTGCTCGTGCAGAGGAGAGTGGTTGGCCGACACGGTCAGGTATTCAATTGCCAACGTCGTGAATCCACACAGTAGTTTTGAATACTGGTAGGGCTCAGCTTTTTGGTTATTAATGCGTAAATGAATATGGGTATGATTCGAGTTGCTTCATCATAATTAGTTTCCAAGTCGCATTGGTATGTTGCCAGCCCGCAAAACCCCAGACGCGCGTTTCGCCCAACTAGGGCTCTTCATTACAGCGCATCCAACGGTCACCTACTGGGAATCGAACCCAAGACCGCTAGAGACTAACGCCAACTAGCCAGCAGCTTAGGCCACTGAGCAATGAAAGAAGACTGCCGACCAATAATAATTGAAATCTAACTGTGGTATCGCTTGGAACCAAATAACGATGAACCAAATTCAGACGTCTCATGCACGCAGACGAAACAAGCTCAACACGCCGCCGCAGAAAAGCTGAACACTCCGTTGAGGTCGGGAGAAATTGTACCGGAAAATTCTGTCAATTAAAACTACTGTACAATTCCGGTTGAAAAAACTGAGAGAAAGAAGAATAAGTAAAATTTGCGTTAAGACTACAGGACTCAAGCATAGAGTGTGAATGAGCAAGCGAATGCTCGGAATCTATGTTTCACTGCTTGTAAAACTTCAGTTTAAAGTGGGACCACTCTAAGACCAAAACATGTGCTTTTGTGTGTCCGTGTGGTTACGGTGAGAGTCGAAGTGGATTGCGAAGAAGGTACACTGGGATCGCACACGCTGCTTAAGAGGGGTGCTCGGCGATGGATCATTATCGGTAACACATGTGATTGTAGGTTGTTGCGTCGAAGAAATGTTGATGTAAGCAGGTTTTAAACAACCGATACTCACAGTCTTTGCAACCATTTAGGTCCAACACAAAATACTTGTCCTTGAGCTCGATAAATTTGTAAGTATCATCGTAAGTTGATACCGGAGTATTACAAAGAATACGATGCGCGCAAAAACTTAGGGACACTCGCGGAGATTAGGACGAACCTGTGAATTACGATGTGTGAGTCATGGAGATTTTGGGCGTACCGAGTTAAATTGACTTCTGAGGCGTGTGACGTAGGAGGTTGGATCTACTTTGTCAGTGACCCATGAATCCAGCAGCATCTCTCCAGGAGGTCTAAGTGACGTACCAAAATCTAACTCAGCGAGGCAAAGGCCTAAAGCTTCCTTTACGATGTTACATATGCCAAACAGGATTATTGACAAAGTTCCGACCACTAAGTGCTCGACTAAAAGCGATGGAATCCTTCCACAAAACCACTGGCTGATAGATCGCAAGTAGTTGTGATAAGGTGAAAAAGTGCTAGCAAACGACGCGCATTACGAAACAACGAAAAAGTAAACTGCGGACTTCTTCCTGTCGTGATAGTTGCAGGTGTGCCATAGAAAAAAATTCAAGTTTCGATGAAGGTTTGCGTTAGCTTCAGAAGATAAGTCGAGTATTGGCACAGCCTGCGGCCAACGTGTGCATCTATTAACACGTCAGCAAGTACTGAAAGCCGTTGGAAGGAGGCAAAGCACCAACGATATCCAAATGGTAATGCATGAAACGAAACGGGAAAATGTGCCGGGGAAAGTGATTGTATGGCGGGGGTCTAACACGTAATACAGTCCTTTGCTCACTGTTGGATGTCACAGCGCATATTTGCCGAACATAGCAACCTGTGATCAAGTTAACAGTACTACGAATGCTTGGATGCGTGAGCCAGTGGCAATGATCGAAAAGGACTAGGCGGTAACCTTGAGAAACGTAGGATCAAGGCGTACCCCTAGACAGGTCATAAACAACTTTGGAGTCCGAGTTAAGGAGCGGCAGAAGAACACATTTGATGGAACGGTTTGTTTTCATCTTCATAAACTCTTGATCCCACTCCTGATGAGCAGTGTTCTTTCCAGTTCGAATGCCGGTCGCAAACTTTGGTGAAGTCCTATGCTGGACATTACACCAGGTACGACGTTAGTACTGGTGTTAATATGACGGATTTCATGTGTAAACTGCTATATATAATCAAAGCATCGGGTTTAACGAGGGGAAAATCCGTCCGAAAAGCCGCAGAAAGCAAAGACAAGTGGGTACTGATCAGTAAGAATGGTAAATGAACCACATTCAAATAGGTGTCGAAAGGGTTTAATGACGGGATAAATGTCCAAAAGTTCTCTTCCGAAGGTACTATACCTGCTTTGTGCAGGTTGTAATTTAGGGGTGAAAAATGTTAATGGTTCGGGATGACCATCGATGAGCTGTTGCGAAACCGCTTTAACTGCGGTCTGTGAAGCATCTGTTGTAAGAACGAGAGGTTTGTTAATATCAGGATGCAAATGGCACAACGCAGTGAGGTTGGACAAAACATGTTTAATTTTGTCGAAAGCGTTTAATGCTTCGGTACTCGTATGGGTTTCCAAATCTTTATTTTAAGCAACTCAGTTACAGGTTAAAGCAGATTAGAGCAATCAGCTATAAAGCGGCCGTAATAATCTACCTTATCGAGGAAACGGCGCCGGCTATTGTAAGACTGCAGCATCGGATACTCTGTGGTTGGGTCTGTTTTCTTCGGGAGTGGGCTGATGCTGTTGCCACCGCTTCGTTGACCGACAACATCAACGCCGGATGGGCCGAAGACAAATTTGTCCATGTGCATCGTAACGCAATAATAATCGAACCGCTTAAATTCTTGGCGAAGAGGAACGAGATGTTCCTCGCAATTTAATCTGGCAATGCGAATGTAATCGATATAAGCAAAAACCAAATCAAGTCCTCGGAGAACATGGTCGATGAATCGTTGAAAACATTGTGACGTGTTTCGTAATCCGAAAAGCAAACGAACAAACATGAAAAGAACGTGGGTTGTAGTTATGGCCGTTTTGAGGATGTCAACAGTGGCATCAGGGATTTGATTATATGTCCCGACTAGGTCAATCTTCGAGAAGATTGCTTCGTCGCCTAGGCTGATTGAAAAATCATTAATATGTGGTAACGGAGACTTGTCTTTGACTGTGACATTATTTTGTTGGCGCTTATCACCACAAGGTCGCCAATGTTCACAACGCTTCTTGGGAAACATGTACAAAGTTGAATACCATGGAGTATTAGAAGGCAGTACGATATCATGGAACTTGTGCACAACTTCGGCTTCGGCGTTAGAAAATTTATCGGGTCGTAGTCTGCGAAGTCCGGTGATGCCCGAGTAACGATGTGGTGCATGATATCATGTTTAGGTTCGGGACCATTATTGGGTGGCAGATACAAAGCGGGACTGTTGTGTTAGCTCCGTGAACACAGTGTTAGTGGGTAGAGTCATGCGAAGTCCGATCAAGGTGATAGAAGTGGCTCTGTCCGGAGTGGTGTGGAACGTGATAAGTTCATGAACTTCTCTGTTGCGTAAATCAATAATAAGACCAACGTTAGTACGGAAGTCGACACCGATGATGGGGCGCTGAACATCCGCGATAGGAAGAGGAAATACTATGTTAGTCGAAGGCCAAGATTGAGAGTCGACAATTCCTGACCGCAGGTCTGGATTTTTGGGTTATTGCCCGCCTAGAAAGTAGGTCCCGTTGGAAGGAGGTAGCTTTTTTCCATTCCACGAGGCAGAACGCTAACCTCGGTTCCAGTGTCAAGCAAAAATGAAAGGATGCTTGTGGCATCCCGGACAAAAAGCAGGCGAATAGAAGACCGGCCAACGGAATTCGTCGCCATTACTGGCTGGCTGGTATGTTTCCCTGTAGGGTCTTCATCTGCGGGGCGGCGTTCCCTCAACAAAGGAAGCTCGAATATGGACAGTCTCTGACAAATCGATTCAATGCAATCTGTTAACGTAGTTGTCTCCGGTATTGTATTGATAGCGTTAGTGCTGAAGGAATCACTCACGAAATTTGTCAGCTGTTTCCGCCAACTTGTCAAGCGACAGGTCGTCTGCCGATAGAGCGAGAATAGCCGTATTGTTGGATAGAAGACATTTGAGCCATAACTGACGTAAGACGCTGTCGCCAACTTTAAAGAACCTCGCCAACGTGTGCATATAAATGGGAAGCTGCGAAGGTGAACGATCATCCAATTCAACTCCGGAAAGACCTTGAT